GATGGGTGGATTTGGGCTGCGCTTTCCCTTTGGCGGTGGCCCAGTGGTCCGGGTGGTCCAGTGGGCCAGTGGTGCGGTGCTCCGTCTTTCCGTGGTTTGCAATCTCAGTTTTATGCCTATGCTTCATAAGGTGTTTGTTTGACAGTTCGATATACATATCTAGATTTGTTGATATTGACGCCTTGAACTCTGTTGGTTTTTGAGGAGCTCGTGGCTGACTGCCCGACTCTTCAGGGCTCCCCACACTTCCCCTTCAGGCGGGTCAATACAACATGGTCAAACACGTGGGACAAAAGAATCGCCCAACAAGTGAGTAAACCGAAAACAGGAGAAAAATAAACTGGGGGCTGGCCCTTGTCGGACTTCCTGAAAAAAAAAAAAACCTGGTATCTGAGGCTCCCGTCGGCGGAACCTAGCGCGGAGCCGGAAACGATAACCACGTCGCAAGGTGCCATGCCATCGCTCAGGACCCGAAACTCGGAGCGTGCGCCTGTCAAGGCCACATGGTTAAGCCATGGTTAAGCCATGGTTAAGCCATGGTTCAGCAAGTGGCAAAGGGCAAAGTGTGCCATACGTAAAGGACACCCTAGCCAAAGTGTCTGGACCAGGTTCAGACCATTCCGTCAAACAGTGTTTGGACGAAAGGCTTGGCGTTTAGGAAATTCAGTGGGATCCTGCCATCAAAAGTGCGACGCCCCACAAGAAGACAAAAAAGAAAGCATGGCATGCGCCATGCACAATTCAAATTTGAAACATCATTCTACAATAAAGATGGTGATGCTCCAAATCCAAATCAATCAACCCATGTCTACAGAATATAATGGTACAAGCACAAACGGCAGATGCCCCATCACTTTGCAACCGGCTTGTGTGCAACTGCCCATGTGATTGGCGTGCTTGCAATGTTTAGGCAACCTGCAGCGCAATCCCTAAAGCGACCCTTGTCCAGCGCTCCTCTCGGGACTGCTGTTTGGAAAGCACACTACCTGCAGACTGAGATGTTGTCATTTGAGTTGGTCACGCACGGATTCGGTGTTTTCTTTGGGTTGGGCAAGAGGCCAGAAAAGGTCATATAAACCAACATCAATACCCAAGCCTACCAGCGGTCGCGCTTGTGATTCCTTGACAGTTCTGGGTAGATTGGTGGGCACCGAACCAAAAGCCCCCCCTCCACTCATCCCGGACTCTGGAGGCTCAGCATCTGGCCATGGAGGGCATGCCCTGCATGGTCCCCATGAGGTTGTACCTGAGAGACTCTCCCGAACGCCTGCGTGCATCAAACCTCGGAATCTGTGGGTCCAGGGTTCTTGCTGACCCCAAGGTAAAAACTGAAGCGCGAGGCGGTCCATTTCAACCAAAAGGAGACATTGTGGGTTGAGGTGGAAGGGTCGTTTGAAGTTTGAACACCTTTGCACCTGGACGGTCCATTTCACGCTGGCATGCGGTGGATCCGGCGTAGCATGGTCTTGCCTCCAAATAGGATGGACCCCCCCCCCAAAATGGGCCCTAAGGATGCCGCGCCCAAAAACGACCACACCCACATCTATGTTCCGAGAGGGCGCGACCGCGACCGCGCCAAGAGTCCAAATATCACGCAGGGGCGTTGGACAATTGAACGCGAGTCCCACTGACTTTGGAACGCGAAATCCCTCCATGCCCCGACATTGAGCCCGGACGTGACTAGACCTGAGGCTCGGGCGGCATAGGCCCATCGTTGGCCTTTGGCGAGTTCTTAGGGAAATGAATCTAACCACTCCATGCCAGGGTTTGCGCTTTTTGGGTCGGAACCCTGCTTACCTTGGTTTTAAACAAAAATGGAGAGGCATAGTTTGTTGGGGTCCCCCTATTTTGGCACATACCCACCTGATTGGGCCATCTATCCCTGAGCAAATAAGCTCAGGTGATATCCCCAACAGCATGTGGTGCTCTTTTAGTGCTCGCACCACCCCAGCCCTCGTGGAACCCTCGTGGAACCTTACCTCAATGCCGCCCCGGACCACCCCGGAGCCTATCTGGGCTGAGACCCCAAAGCTTTCAGCTGTTGGGGGTTAAATTATATCAACCTTCGAGGTTCGATGAAAAATCTGACCCTTTGTGCCAAGGATCTACCAGAGACCTGCGATACAACAGCCCTTTGTTTTTACACTGGCATTCCCGCATTTCCAAAGAACAAGCAAGTGCCATTCGTTCGCCTAGTGAGCTTTCTTCACCACGCGATAGGAAACCGGCCCAAAAAGGAAGCCACAAAGGAAATCGACCCCCCTCAATTCGAGACATGCCCCCACTGAAAAAACAAACAAACCTTGAGTAATCCACTGCAAACATCAGCCATCAGCATCTTCTTCATACAAGAGGGTCCAGATTTGTGCTCCCTGTCTGGGCTGCGGCTGGGGCAAGGAAAGGCGTTCTGGCAAATTTCCACCCATTGGACATGTGCCAAACAGCGGACCGGCTTTAAAAGCAAGCAGACCGCTTGGGGCCCCAAATGGGAATCTTCAATCACCCAAAAAAGAAAGGCAAATCTGCGGCCCACTGGCGAGGCCAATGGCGGTACCTTCCCATAAACGTAGAAATGCGCAAGCCCCCTTTCCAGAAGGAAGCAGTCTTGCAAACGAGGACCTCGCAAACCCCTGGTTCAGCAAGGCTTCTACGATTTGCCCCAATGTCATCTCAGGGAAAACAGGGGATATAACTGTACAACCTGGCACCAGTCGTTTCGACTATCCAACTAACCGGTTTTCCTAAATTGGCCCTTTTGAATGGAGATTTAAGCATCACCGTTGTTTTAATGGCCAGTTTCCTAACCAGAGTGCCAGCCCTCTAGCAAAGTGACTCTAGGCCCTGTGCCGGCATACCGGGCATGCCCATGGGCATGCCCATGGGCGGCATACCGGGCATGCCCATGGACGGCATCCTGCACCACGCCCAGCGAGACATGGGTCTGTTCTCAGAATAGGAATTCCCGTGCAGGATGGCTTGAAAGAGCAAACAAACATAACTGTGCCACCTGCAAGAGGTGCCGCATTTTGAGAAGTTGCGAGTAAATCCACCACACACTGCGGAAAATCAGTGAATTCTCCTTGATCCTACTTGCAGTGTTGAGGGCTGCATATCTAAGGGAGGTTGGGGATTGCCGCAAAATACCGAACCTAAATATGGGTGCCGGACTGATGTTCACTCACAAGTGCACCTACAGCGGGACCACCACTTCGCGGAGGATGTCTGTCAGCTTACCCCAGAAAGCTACAGTCTCTGCCAAGGCAGTCAAGGGCAGCAGCCTTTCAGCCCAAAGTCATCCGCGAACCGCCCTGAGGGTGCCACCCGTAGGCCGGTGCGAAGCTGGGGACAGGCCTGGCACTAGCGGCAAGATGCGCTCCCAGAAGCCCAATCTTGATTTCTGAGCCAGGGGATCCACAGTTGTGGCTCATGGTCCTTCGCGTCAATAGTCACTGTATAGCAAGCGCGGCTCGAACTGCCAATAGCCACTAGTCACTAGCATTCATTGGGCAACCGCAGCGCTGGTGCTCACGCGTCCTTTTGGCTTGGCTCAAAATGGACGGCCCTGGCTGCATGGCTTCTCTTTGAGGCCTCTGCGGTGCCAGCATGGCCATCTTGGGCACTTCTGAGGGACCTCAGCTGCTGTGATCCTGCTGGCTTCCGGCTTCCTCTTGGTTTGCGATTTTGGTGTTGGTTTAGCTGAAAGGGGGTGCAAACATGTGGATGTCCCTCAAACTGGATGCGGATCCCCGAACATCGGTTTCGCTGCGCTGGTCCGTTGGCTTCCTTCTGTTTGCCCTTTTGGTGCCAAGACAAGAGGGGCGGTGTCCGTAGAGGTGGGTCGCCTCGGCTTGCGTTTGAAGCTAAAGGAATCCGAGCTTCATCCATGCCTCACCTTTTGCTCCCCACTGACACGTTCAGAGTATCCCCCGTGTGCATAACAAACAAAAAAATGGGTTTCATTTCGGCTTGTCTCAAAATACCTCCAAAAACAACCCTGGCAAAACAGTCTCAAAAAAGAAAACAAAGAAGAAAATAAAGAAAACGGATGAGTGGTCCCCCGTTTCCAAAAACGACGCTACCCTCCGAGAAGCCCCCGCCCTGGTGTCGCCACCCGCCAGGCGCCCAGCTCAGAGTGGCACTGCTGAGCCGGCTGTTTGGCGCCCAAAAGGCGGCGGCGGGCGCAGGCGGGACGGGATGGAGGAAGCTTGAACGGAAACCAAAAGGAAACACAAAAAATGGGGTTCCCTAGACACCCTAGAAAACAATATATATATATATATATATTATGTGTTTTTGGGGGTACCCTAGAAAAGGAATGACCCATATGCTGTCATGTGCTCTTTTCATGGAAACGCGCGAATAGCCCAGGGCAACTCCTTTGAAACGAAGCTTCAACCAGTGGCCCCAACATGTGCTGTTTACCTTCAGGTTCCACTTAAACCGGCCAAGAAGGGGTCAAGAAAGGAGCGTGCAGAGGGAAAGCAGCTACCTGGAAAGGTCACCAACGTTGAGAACCACCCAAATGATAAAGTGTACATGGCTTGGTACGGGATCTAAGGTGGCTGCCCGAGTTGCTACTCTGAGCTCGACATAAACCAACCTTGCGCAGGGCAGGCAGTGGGCAGAGAGCCGAAGACTAAACGACTGGAAGAAATGGCTTGGGATTTGGCACGCATCTGGATTTCTGTTTGGCTGTTCAAATGGCCAACCAACCCGCAACAGGACATACTTGTATCTTGGAGATGGCAAGTCTGGCTGCAAAGCTCTGCGTGGCACCTTTTGCCTGTCTTCGACAGCTGGCGTCTGCAGCCTTCTGCTCCAATGCCAGGTATATTCTGGCATCAAAGCAGAAGACTGACAGGCGGCTTGAAGCGGATGGCGTCTCGGTGGCCGACATATGACATCTCGAGCTTTCAACTTCCGGGGGGGGGGGGGCAAGACCAGGAACGAGCCACGGACTTCAACACGCCGTTGTTTGTGGCTGGTGCAAAGAGTCTGAAACCAAAAACGCGGCCACACCATCCACGGCACCAGCGCCTAATTTCGGCTGCGCCTGGCTTCCGGGCCTCTGGCACGAAGGACAGGTCACAACAGGACATTAACAAATCCTCCCGGCACCAGAGAGCAAAATACCTGAGGCCAAGGTCAGCAGCTCATGTGGCCCTTCTGGTTGCTGTGGGTAGCCATTTCAATGATGGTTGCGACAATGATTGGAAACTAAAGAGGCAATTTGTATGGTGCTGACAAGGTCGACAGTGAATAGCAAATCTCAATTTCGTCATCGCTGAAGTCTCAGAACGGCTGTCAATTGGGATGGCAAGACCCAAGTCAAGCCAAGAGTTCCAGTTGCTTGGATCAGACCCAAGTTTGCCTTTACCCAAGCACCAGCTCCAATCATCAGCCATGTTACTGTTCGAGCCCTCACTCAAGTCCAATCTCGGTAGAACCCCCCCAAAAAAACAACCAAAAACAATTGTTGGATGTTCACCAAGCGGTTCCTTTTTCAAATCCAAGGCTCCAGCTGCCCTTAGCTGAAGCGAAACTGCGGCACCTGCAGGGGGGGGGGGGAGGCGCACTGAAACAAAGTCCCATCCTATGGTCAATTGGTGCTTCCCTTGAAAACCACATTGCTGTCTGGAACCACTGCCCTCTGTCCTATCATGGAATTCCACGTTTTGGGGCTTTTGGGGTCAAACCCCCCAAAGGAAAGCCTCCATCTTCCAAAACTCGACATGGTCAGCTTCCATTAAGGTTGGATTGAGGGTTGCCCCCAGCAGGCAGGTCCCTGCACCATGACTCTCATTAGGTCCTCCAGACCAATGCGAATTGATACTAGGTGAGTCAAAGTCCAGAGGAACCAATTGTATTGACAAGACAGCTGAGAAAATCAAGTTGGCTAGGCCACTATTTGAATTACATATTTTTGTTTGGTTCATCTGCGGCTGCAACTCACTCAAAGTACCGGCAAGTTATGACCATCTTGGTATTATCCGAGTAACATGGTGGCTACAGCCACACAGTATCGTGTTGAATTGTGCCACAAGATACGCTTCATCTTTACCAAGCATGACTTGAACTACAACCAACGGCTCACACGATGCGTTGTACAAAGCAATCATTGTGGAACAAGATCCATTGAGTTTGGCAGCGTTGTGCCTTTTCTTACATCACATTGGTCAAATCATCGCTTGATTTTTGGAACCGATTGCCCTGACGGCACATATTGACACGCATTCAAGTGTTTCTCCGGATAGGAGTTGGAAATGCTAATGGTTTCCTGTTGGTTTTAATGTTTCAACAGAAGGAAGCGCCTCTATTTGTTTGCAGTGTTGTTGGCACCACATTGACACTGCCAACAACATGTGGTTCCTGTGAGCAAGATAGGTTTCACGAGACACATGCAACCAGTGCCCACAAGTCCCAGAAACTGGCCGATGTCCAAAGGCTCCAACCCAAACTCCTGACCAACTTAGACATTGGCCTTCTCCAACCCAAAATCCACATCGTACCCCCAGTGAACATCAACCAATCCCCACTAAAATAGGTTCTAAAATGGGTGGTGCACCGAAAACCCCCAAAGTGGGATTGGCTTTGACAACCACAGCCAAATCAAAAAGGTCCCACGGTAAGGTTCCCAAGGCCTCGCCTGGAGGTCGTTCTCTTTCAGCTGCCGCGCGCTGGCTTTGGGCTTTGCCTTGTTTTGCCGCGCTGCCCTGGGACCCTCCAGCGCCCGGCTCACGGTGTCCTGGGCTTCTCGGCTTCAGAAGGGAAGGGGCGGCCGAAATTTGGGCTTAGAGGGCTCCACCCACAGAGGATGAGCTGTAAGTGTGTAGCCGCTCTCCCGATTTTTTTCCCAGACAGAGTGGTTTGGGGGAAATGTCGGAGAGCGAGTAGTTTCTGGGGAGTGAACATAAAAACAATGGGCAAAAATAGCTCGCCTGGAAAAGAAAAAGGGAGGTAAATACGGAAAAGTGCGGTGTCCGTTAAAAATCAAATGGCTCCAGACCGAGCGTAGGAAATGCAAATCTGCCGGCCAGCACCTGGCAATGCTCAACCAGTACTGGACCCATGCTAAAACAATGCAAAACCAATACTAAAGCAATAACAAGCCAGCAATTACAGGGATTCTTACACTGTACACCTGAACATTGCCTTGTAAATGTTGGTGTCCCTTTATTTTGGTGGAAAAAGCCATGTTTCAAATGGGCAAAATGTATCTTTTAATGGAGCCCTGAACAAGAAGTCGGCTTAAAGGTACAAACAGGCAAATTCCAATTGACAGCTTTTACTCAAGCAGCACAACCAAGCTTCCCAGAGGTTGGTACAGGGTCGACTCAGAAGCGAATATTTAATATTTGTTTAAGGGCAGTGAATAGAGACAATACTTCTCACCCCAATCCACAATCTATCTGCCCAGCAGGAAGCAGTACTAAACCAATACTAAACCAAAACTGAGCAGAGAGGACGGAAGAGGACCGGACAGGACCGCAAAGAACGTGGACCAAGGATCAAGGAGGGCCGAAGACTACTGGGCAGGCGGGGTCGTTTCTGTCCCAAATCTGCTTCAGGTGACTTTCTCTGTTTAGACCAGATTCGGCTGCGACCCAACTTTAGTGAAATTGTTGAGTTGGTCCAGCTGACCTGCAAAAAGCGCTTGCCTGTAAGTTGTGGGCACGTTCGTCTTTGTCCCAAAAATCGAGCCAAAGAGCAAGCGAGATTTTGGCTACCACTCGAGGAACAATCCTCAAAACAATTGTTGAGGAGCATCCCCATATATTGCCTGTGAGACTAGTAATTAAAGACATGGGCCGATTTCAGTCGAGCTTGTTGACGCGATGCCATGTGCCTCCAACATTTTACAAACTCAAGGGCAGAAGAATGAGAAGGCCAAGCAAGCAACAGGCTGAAGCTGTAGCCAAAGCGCATTCCCACCATTTAGCCTACGCAGCGAAAACCAAGCGTGCCTCAGGTTGGAATGATGCCATTGTCTGGAAAAACTATGGTTTCCGTCGCCATGAACACCAGCCCTCATGTTCACAACATCGCAGAAGGCGAGGACACGCAGCCAGCACACATGCCCACACATGATAAGCACGTCCGCGTTGCCACACACACACACACATACAGTCCAACTGGCGGCTGTTGAGTTTGTAGGAAGAACGAGCTACATGTCGTGGAAGACGAAGGTTTGAACTCTGATCATTTGGCTTTGGCTGGAGTCAGCTGGGGGCAACTTGGCACCCCTCATGACGTGAGCGGCACCAAGGCAACTTGCTCACCATGGCGTTGCAATGTCAGTGCACACAATGGTTCTGCGGCCCCTATGGCTTTGCCGTGTGAGTTTGTCAGCTTCGTAGGCTGGGCTCCAAGATTTCGGGACACGCATCCACAGTCCGGGAACCTTCACACCGGAACAAACCACACCGGAACAAACTATACATCTCTCAGCAATCATAATCGCTTTTTGGAAGATCAAACGTTTGGAACGCTCTTTGAGGAACCCTTGATTAACGCGATAAGTAACCAGTCAAGTTGAGGCAAATACGACAACAGTTCTACGAAAAGCAATTCGCGAATAAGTTAGCGAGGGTTAGGTTCCTTGCAAGGGGGAGCGTAGATACCTGGCGGAAGGAAAACAATTCAGGGCAGCAGTAATGTTTAAGGATCCAATATTGGAGTGGGGTTCTGGGGGCCTTGTTGACCAAATTGAGACATGATTGTGGAGGACTACTGTGCATGTATTAGTTGACCATTTTTATATTACCCCAAAAAAGCCAACATAGAACTCGAAAGGGACCCCATCGAGACGATGTTTCTCCAAGATCCGAGAGGGTCCATGTTTGTTTTCGGGAGGGTACAAGCTGCGCAACTCAAGATTGTGTTCGGGTATGGCCTCCAGGTCAAACTAGCAGCCAGTGACGGTGAACACAGCCACTGGTACTAAAGAAAGCACAAGAAACAGCGAAGGGAACCCGGGGCCGCTGTGAAATAACACTAAAAACAACTGCGTACCAAAATACAAAAGGCGCACAACATAAGGAAAAAGTCTATGCTAGCACCAGCTCTGAGTCTATCTGAGCTTTCAGCTCCCTCTGCAGCCGCACTAGGTCCGCGGTTGAGGGCTTCCCGAAAACCTTCGGCTTCAGCTTCGGCTTTGGCTTGGCACTCGACGCTTCTCGCCTAGGCTCCCTCGAAGTGCTCCAGACGGTTCGGTCCCGGTTCGCGCTGGCGACGTTCCGCGGCTTGCGCGCGGAGCCGCTTCCGGCACTGACTTGACGGGTGACGCCTCTTGCCGCTGGGCCGACGCTTCTCTGGCTGCTTCTCTCTCTTGGGCTCCTCTGGCCTGAGGCGCTTCGGCTCTCGCTCTGGCCAGCCGCACCGGCGCTTGCGCTCCTGGCGCTGGCGCGCGCGCCAGGCCTTGCGCCTGGCGACGCGCTCCGGGAGCTGCGACTCCGGCGCTGGCCGCACTTGCGGCAGAAGGCGGAGTCTGGGGAGTTCACCTCAGTGGCTCTCTGGCAAAAAGGGCGCAACGGTCTTGTGGCTGACTAAACAAAAAAAACGAACAGCCCAGGCGGTAAAAAAAAAGAGGAAAGAGTGGAACTTAGTGGACAACTGGGGCACGCTCCGGCACTGGCCACACTTGAAGGGTGTCTGCAAAGGCGAGCTTCGCAGGCCAGTGCTGAATAGCAGATGCGTCCAGGTGTCCAGTCCTTGGCCCACTTGGAAGGTGAGATGGGCATTGTCTTGGGGCCTTAAAGGGAAAAATCAGATGCTGCGGCGGCAGCATTCAAGCGGCAGAGCCCACTCACCTTCAGACGGATGCCTCTACCACAAACCCCCACGTTTGTGGATCAAAAGGAGCCCGAAGAATTCCTCACCAATTCAAACCCAGCAGCCCGTTGGCTTGTCGTCGCCTGCTATGGGCCAGTTGTTCACGTTGTGCGGCAGCTGCGTTGATGGCCATCCTCAAAAACACGCACGGCAAGAGACCCCTCAAACATCGCCTTGTGTTGCGTGAGGTCAGCGAGGATGGGGATGAGGGATGACGGGGATAGGGGATGAGGACGGGGACGGGGACGAGGACGAGAACGAGGACGAGGACGAGGATGGGGATGGAGGAGGAGGAGGAGGAGGAGGAGGAGGACGATGATAGTGGTTGGTGGTGGTGCTGGTGCTGGTGATGGTGTGCATCAAACAATCCTGCTTGGGACAAAACACCCCTTCATGCCGACAGGTGTAGCTTTTCTCATGGTGACTTTTTCCAAAGGGCGGATTCGAAGTTCTCCTGATCACATTGGCTCAGATGCCCAGTGGCCATGGCTTCCTTTTTTGGTCGGTTGAGTTTAAAGGGGAACCCTTCCCAAAAAAGAGTGGAAAAAAGGGGGCGGAATCCACTGGTTGCAACTGGGTTGGCTAAACCCGGATATGTTTCCCTTCGTTGGACAAAGAGCTCCTTGAGCACCTCCGATGCCACCGCCACCTTTTAGCTTCTCACCCGAGCTCTAGCCCACCCAGCGAGAGGCAAATTCATCCGCGCGGCGAGCGGAGGGCGGCCACTTGCAGGGGGACCAGTTGCTCTTCTCCCTGCGGCTCTCACACTACGGCGAGACCCACTGGGGCATGGGACCAACTGGCGAAAATCCAGCGCTTTCAGCTGGAAGCCACGTTTTGGTAACTACAGTAGTTTTTGTAAAGCCCTTGGCGACCCACAAAAACGTGGCTTGCACTTGGAAGGATCACAAAATAACATCTCGGGAATGAACCAACAGTTGGACACGTGCAATATATAGTGATTTGGCGAATGGCTTTCCACTTGTCAACACTCAGAGTCACAATCAAACCTGAGAAAGGAGTCTACCCAAAAGCCAAAAGGGCGGATATCCGCACTTACGATTGGGACCCCCTGTTCAATTTCTGGCACGTATCTAGAGGAATCTAAATTCAGTGTCAATATGGTTTCCCTTCACAACGACACAAGGTGAAACCGAGGGGCCAGCCAGGAAAAAAGAGGGCGAACCTTCCAAAACAACACGCCTTTGGGACGTGTTCCTCCAACCGACTCTATCCACTCCCCGCCTGGCCGTGTTGGCCTCCACGCGCGGCCGCCGGAGGTCCTGGAGATCTCTCTCGGGCCCCCCAAGGCGTCAAGGTGCCCGGGAGGGCCAAAGCCTGGGGCCAAAAACTGAACTTCTTTTGCTCCCAGACGCACCGCCCCGTTTTGTCCCAAAAAGGGGTTCCGGGGAGAAGAAAAAAAAAAGGGGTCGCCCAGCGCACAGAAAGAGGAGAGCGTTTCCGTGCTGCGCCAAAGAAGAGACCGCGAAAAATAGAGGGGCCTGCTGACCAGAAATGTGTGGCGGAAAAAGTGGGTCCCAAAGATGTGTCTGGAACAATTCAAAGGGGGGTTGCCCAACTCCACCAGGTGTGACATGGCGGGGGTCTAGCACAACGAGAAATTCCAACTCGAGGCCTGTTGGGATCACTCATCATGGCTTTTGTTGGCCCACAGCAGAGTTGTTCTTTGTAATCCTGACTACCCTTCCCGAAGATCGATGGGGTGATGATTCCCCCCTTCCAAGTGATTCCGCGTCCTCTTTGGAATCCATGGTCCTTCCCAAAAAAAAGCATTGCGGACAAGTAGACCACCGGAGACAAGGCCTTTGTCCATCTTGTGCTGTGCGGCGAGGCCCGCGCACAGTGGCTAATACTGTGGATGGACAAAATCCTGCACCACCTAGAGAACCTGGGGGTGATGCTTCCCCTGTAAATACCAACAAACAATGTTATCCCATAATTTCAAAGTGGTGCAGGATTTCGTCCACCCACAGTATGGGGACATAAAGGAAGCTGCGCATGTTGAGGGACCCGTTCCGCTCTTGAGTGGGCTGACTCCTTTGAGTAATGTGGCCCCGCGAAGTCCACATTAAAAGAGCCATGACCACGATCCACGTGAGATTCTTTTTCAGAAAGGAGATGCCTTTTTTCAACTCCTCTGTGACGAAACAAGTCCACCCTTCGTTCAAAAAGCCAAATCCCCCTTCGGTGTCCCACCCCTCTCCCTGCCGGCCATCCTCCGCTCCTCCCGTCTCCCGCGCGGCGACACCTCCGCGTCTCGTCGGCCGCGGGCGGAGCGCGAGAAGGAGCGCGGGGAGAAGCTCACAGAGCCCGGGCTCCTGTCCACTTTTTGGTTTTCACATGGAAAGGAGGATATGTTTTTTCCGGAGGATATGGTTTGTTGCAGCAACCAGGAGCCGAACCCTGCTGGGCGTCGCGTCCTTCTTTCGAGACCGATATTTAGCCAGTTCGCTTTGGGGTCGGAAATCCAGTTTTAGTGAAGACGCAAAAAAAAAGGGTGTGATGTTTTTACATTGGGGGGGGAGAATATATTGGGAACCCAGACGGTCCTGTTGAAACCCTCACCCCACAAGAAACCCACCCAAGTCGACCATTTCTGTTTGGGGGCGCTTCCATCCTTCGTGGGCAGCCAGCAGGCCGAAATGCATTTAGAGGATGCCACTCTTCAACTGGTCACTGTACAACTGGGCAAAAGGGGACCCTTGGGATAGGGTGGAAAAGTAAGAGGGTAATCCAATAAAAAACAGCGATTTTTTGGCTAGAGGAATCTCAACCCGCAACTTGTCTGATATATCTTTAACGTGTCACGAGTCACAAAGTAGAAGCAAAACCAAGGCAGAGCTTCAAGCAAAACGGAGTGTCATAAACCCAGACAGACCTAGAGTTCCTCAGCTTCCTACATTCGGGAAGCATTCCCGCTCACCCATATATCCCCTATTTTGAGTGCCTCAAGACTTAGGAATCAAAAAGAAAGCGAAAGCAAACATCGCTTTTTTCAAGAAGTCAACAACTATTTCGGTTGACTCACACGAATGCCTTGAAGGTCAAAAACTGCATACAAGTCATATCGAGGGACACAGTGTTGGACCTCTACAAAAAGGACCCATGGCATGAAACTACCCGTAATGCTTTCTATCAAAACTAGGGTATGGGTCAAAATTAAACCACCAGGAATTGGACCGCAGGTTTTGGTCCATGGTTCCACTTACTAGGGCAAGCCATTTGGGGGTTACCCTATTTTTGACCACCACAGCCACCATTTCTTGATGCTTCGGGAGTCTCTGGATCTTGCTCACGCATGTCCTGAGCCTTGCTGAGGAGGACTCTGCTGAGCCTGGTGCTGAAGATATGCAGAAGCGACGATGTGTGCAAAAAAAAAACTACTCCCCCAAGCCACATGGGAACATCTCCAAAGAAATTCAATGCCCCTAAATTCAATGTGAGCTCCCTGCATGTTCCTTTACAATAACCCTCACAAACAGGCATCCAAAAAGAGACACGCCACATTGCCCAGAGATACGGCCCTGCAGACCAGACCAGCGAAGCCAGTTCCTCCGATCCGTATGTCAAGACAAAGTCCGATTTGCAGCGCCCAGTGCTACGAACGTTTAGAAGCTTGCCAAGAAGAGGTCGAGTTTGGAGAGACCATCTGGCTCTCTCGCTGGGTTCCTGAAGCCGGAGCCGTCCTGTCGAAGTAGGGGCCAGGTGTAACAAGCAAAGCCTCCGGAAAGGCTCTGGACGAATCATTTTGGACGAAGAATCCTGAGCGGTGAATCCATGAAGCATTCCACGAATCCAAACAGTTGACCAACCGACCGGGACTACGACATGGATCTTCAAGACCGGACCGGAACGTGTTCGGTCGCGATTGAGCTGGTCTTTGACCCCCAGGTCGAACTATTTGCCAACGGCAAAAGCTCAACCGCGTATCGGTCAAACCAACTAGCAACTTAAGCCTTTGTGCAGATCGGCGGTCCTGCTGAAGTGGACACCGAGCTGAGCAGCGCTGTCTCAGAAGCCACGCGAGCCTGAGCAGCGCTTGCCGTTTCTTCTGTCTGCGCGGGGCCAAGCGTGCCATAGCCACAACTCCTCGTGGCCAAGGTGCTGTTGAACCGCACAATGCTCGTCTCACTTCCGGAGTTGCACGGCCCACAAACAGCCACCAAACTGCTTATTTACCACTAGAGTGGTCTTCCCAAAAAGTCTATGGCCCAAAAACCGGAACCAAACTGTTTCATTTGGCACTCGGATTGTTTAAAGTCCAGGAACTCAGGAGGTGAGTTGTCTCATTCCGCCAGGGCTTGACATGACGCTTGGCGCCGAGCGAAGGCCGGTGGCTTGAATTTCGGCCACTCCGCCTGAATGGCTGACGAGCAACCTGTCTGATCGAAGGTCCTCGCGGCTGTGGCTCAAATAAATGTACCAGAAAATCACCTTGGTAAATGGAACCAAGGCCAGAAGCTGCGTAACCCTAGCTCTTTAATTTTGAGCCCCAGCCGCTGCTACGAAGGAAACATGCGTGGCAAGTTGGGTGCTTCCTACGATTAGAGCGGGGTCGCCAGAGAATGCTTAGTTTGTTCAAAAGAGGGTCAACATGTTATGTTCTTTTAGAACACGCCAGGCATGTCCATTATGCACGATGCTCTCACGTAGTACGAGTGTTGGTGGCCTACTGCTAGTTCGGGGAGGACAAAAGGGGCACAACCCAAGTTATTTACGGGTTTAATGTTCAAGAAACAATGTGTCAAACGGTCGGCGGCAAATGTGTCGTATCCTTTGAAAGCAAAGCAAAAGGGTTTCCAACATCTGACCCCCCTTCAAGAACCAAAATTCGTGCGGCAGAATCAAAACCTCGTACTGCAGCAGTCTACCCAAAACCATTTTCAAAATGGCACATATCCGCAACTATTTCTGGTTGGGACTGTCTCCTACTGGCTGTGGGTCAAAACCAATGGTACCATGTTCGGGTAGGTGCACCACCCAGTTTATTCTGTTTTAGTGGGGATTGGGATGTTCACTGGGGGTACGGGCTTTTGGCCCATGGCCTACTGACCTTCATCTCCCCATCTTCCCGGCAGAGCGGCCTTTCCAGCCGGCGCCTGAAGCCCAGCGGTCATGCGAAGCAACGCCTGGCGTGTCTTGAGATCCGCGAAAAACCTGCGATACCTTCGCTGGAGACCACTCGCCATGTCTGTGTTTGGCACATTCTGACCACTCTCAACGTCCTTGCCTGAACCAAGACAATATGAAGGAACCAAAAATATGTTGAAAAGCGAGAAGTCGGAGATTAAGACATGCAGTTCGAGGCTGGGGCACCACATGCAAAGGGCATCCTTGTTTGTGTGACCTCCGGAGTGATGAACTCCAGATGGCTTGGGGCTTGTCCCTTGCAAGAGGGCATCCGGCACTAGTGAGGGCCTACACCCCCCCATAAACTAGGTATGTGTCAAAATTGGTGGATCCCACCACTGGAGAGCTCGAGGCCCCTGCAATCTCCGCCGCCGCCGCGTTGCGTCCTGCCGGAGATGTTCTTCGCGACGGAACAAAAATATGCGTTTCACCAGGGCGTGCGCGAAGACTTGGTGCGAAGTTTGGGTTGTCTCTCACATGCTCCCCAAACCAAGCCCTGTTGGGAAACGAGGGCCTGTACGTTTTCATGAGCTTCATTGCATTGCGGCAGGGTCGCCTCAAAAAACAAGTTCCTCACGAGACCTCTTCCATGTTGTTAGGTGACGCCCGGATCACACCAGACGATGACTTTGCTTGGAAAGGCAATCATTCTCCGGGGTTGCCCAGTTCAGGAACACTCCGAAACACATAAGGCAAAGCTGCCTCCAAATTGGAACCCCCAAGATGACTTCTGGCTGCCCCTTACAATCCCCAACAAGGAAAAAGTGTAAAGAAAAAGCGACACCCAAGCGGGCGAGCCATTGGACCCAGCTGTCAAAGTTGCTCCACAAACCTGACCAGCACATAGAAATGCAGCCGCCGGAAAACGGGAAAACCGGAGAAGAACATTTTACCAGCTTGCTGGCCAAGGGAGCAACGGCCAAGGGAGCAGCCCTGTTCATTCCTAGCATTTGCGCCGATCATAGGGCCTACCCTCAAACAGCCAAGGCCCAAAGCTCTGCATCGCTCCGCAAATCCAAAGGTCAACCACATCGTATGCATTGCATCGCTTCTATGCTGGTACGGGCGCCCTTTAGGATTGAACCAAAAAGCACCCCCGAGGTCACCCGCGCCTTCCTGCTCGGCCCGCCGGGCGGCCGCCTGCGCATGAAGACAAAGTCAGCTGGAGGAACTGAAGCCGCAACTATCCAAAATTTGGGCGTGGCTCAAAAAATTACCGGGAGGGGTTACGCAGGTTTTGGTCCATGTTTTCATTTACCAGGGTTCCATTTTGGTGCCGGCTTTTGACAGCCATTTGCTGACTGACTGAGCAGCGCCCTTTGTCTTTGTCTTTGTCTCTTGTTGCTGATGTTACAGCTATGTACGAGTGCCAGCCTAAGCGTGCAAAACGACATGACGGAAAGAGGACTTTAAGGATGGAACACGAAGTTCAAGTACCGCCCGTTGTGGGCAACATGGTCTTGCAGCATGGCGGCTGCGGACAAATCAGATGTGAAATTGGCCCTTGTGCACACTGCGGCCAATGAGCACGAGCGAAGTGACCCCCGGCTGAAGCGGGAGGGAAGCATGGATGCTCTGTTTCTGTGCCCACATAATAATAATGGCGTGGGTAAAGGCGCGTTGCTGCGTCTGCCGTGACTTGTGCCCAGCCAACCCAACATGACTTCCGAACAGTCCGAGCGGAACTCCTGCCAGGGACTGACCAGTGAATTCTGAGGGCAGAGCTTTTGGCGGCGATTCTTGCTTTAGGCGTCTGAAAGACTTGTGTAATTTATTCTGACTGCAAGACTTTTATGGATAAGGCCAACTTTACCCTTGAAAACGGATGATGTGTACCTACCTTCTGGGAGCACTCTGACCTTTGGAGCGCATGGTGCGCACAGTTGACGCATAACTCTCGTGGTGGTGTTAGCCTGGTGAAAGTCAAAGCGCACAGATCTGAAGCTGCTCAGTCCTCGGCCTTTGACAGCTGGACCGCATTTCAAAATAATGCGGTTGATAGTGTTGCCAAAAACTGCTTGCAGACAAAAGCGGCTGCCATACTTAGACGCCTCAAGCAAGCTGAAAGCAGGCAAAACCGTTTTCGAAAACATTTCGCAGCTTCTCATGACTTCATAGTCCAGTCTGCAAACCTATACCTCATTGCTAGGCCAAAAGTGAACCATTATTTCCATGACCTTACTCAGTTGAGGGTGGAGGATGAAACGCAGTGTTCACACCACTCGCCTGTTTAGGAACATCACCAATTACAATGTTGTCCCTTCGCTGGCCTTTTCCTACAAAGAATCTTGCAATGGGCTGATACCCTCAGCTGGGCACCTGAACATGCGATAGGTGATACTTCTTGCTGTGAACTGTATGCAGCATTTGTCCTTGAGACGAAAACTCGTGCACCTGTGAAAGTGCCTGTGAAGGACGGAAAAGGCAAGAACCGTTTTCGCTGGACCCTTAGGGACCAATCCCTTGAGACTGATTCCATTTGTACAGTTTTTAGCCAGGATGTGCCAAAACCCATCGACTGCTGGTTCTGCCACCATGGTCAATGTTTACATACTATCCCAATGAAAGCAGGTAGTAGAACCACCCTAAAACGGTCAACCAGGGTTTTGGGTGCTCGACTGGAATTCAAGGCCCAAGTGCGGGACCCTATGCGAGCTTGGTTTGCCCTCTATCTCACCTGTGTTCACTGCACTTCGCTTCGGGCTTCTCTGCTTGTGCCGTTCTCAGGCTGCCGCTCGCCAAGCGTCCGGAGTGGCCTACAGAACAAGATGCTCACGAGAACAAATGGCTGTGGGTCAAACATAGGTACCCCAAATGGAACCCTCGTACGTGGAAACATGGACCAAAACCTGCGGTCCCCTGGTGGTTTAATTTTGACCCATACCCAAATGGGTGCCCAAACCCCTGGAAGCAAATCTCCGAAAAGGGCATCCGCCAAAAGAGACACGCTCAAATGTAGTCCAAGAATGAAGCCAATACAGGACCATCACATTTTCCGTTCTCGGGTGTGTCAAGCTGCATCAGACCGCTCCAAGTGACCAATGTGCTACGCCTGCTCTTTGAGAACCACTGAGACAGGGTTTCTTGAAAGACCCCCAGCTAAAAGCAAACTCAAACCAGGCGGTGTTGTAAACGAGCGTTGGCAACCTTGTGACACCGAAGACCAAACCAAGTGATCCCTAATTAACTGCCGAGCCACCTGACCACCAAATGTCCGAGCCACCTGACCACTGCGTTAGAACAGGACCTCGACAGGCACGACACTTGTTCCCCGATGACATGTTGCTTTCCTGAAACCACTTGTGGGTTGCGTGCAAGGCTTATCGGCCAGGGGCACTTGGTCCGCCAGCATCTCACCAGACCATCAGAAGGGTACAACGTTTGTGTACAGGACTGGCTGCCTGGCTGCTTGTGGAAGCTCCGTTGAACCTGCAAAACCAGGCGGACAAAGAGCGGGCTGTACATGCATCTTTCCAAGTCCCAGCCGAGGTCCACCCCGCTGTGCACTGGCTGAAGGCTTCGGCACAACACGGCGGTCACATCAACGCCGGCCTGACACCTTTCCAATAAGGCTACGTATCAAAACCAGGGACCCCATTTGAGTGTCTAAGAAGGAAAGCTTGCTGGCTAGCCACCATTGCCATAAGGGTTGCAAAATATGGTAGTGCTTGAATCCCGGTCCCTTCTGCGCTTTCGCGTCCAAGAAGAGAACGTGTTTCTTGTTCCCATGAGAGCTTTGCTGGCACAGACATATTCTGTAGCTGGGAATTCACGTCTACCTCGTACAGCGCCTCTTTTTCAAGGAATGGACAGCCTTGGTTCAAAGGAGGGATATAGGTGGAGGCTCCGTTGGCTGTTCCCATTCTGAAACTGGTTGGCTTCCTTCTTGGTTCCACCTCGAACGTCATCTAAGAGGGAGTCTCCATTTTGGGCGCCTCCATTCATCCTGTTGGGCGCGGAATCGATCAAGGCATGTCATGCTACCGCTCAAACGCAAAACTATTGAGCGAGTCCCGATGCCTTCCGCATGCCTGAATTCGCAGTGCCTCTAGGGCTAAGGTCCGGGCACATCAGAAACTTGCCTTCGAGAGGCAGGTGCACCGGCTTTCGGCCGTCGGCCAACGAAACGGAGCCTTCCAGATCGCCACTATGAGGATCCTGCTCGATGCCAAGCTAGTGACATGTCAACAGGGAACTCGGTGCAAAGGGAGAGCAATGGTAAACTACCAGCTTGTACACATAGGTATGTGTCAAAATTGGGACCTGCAAAAAGCTGGCTGTCCTTTTGGGTGTCCCTTTAAACCAACCTGAAAATGGTATCCTCAAAAAGCACATACACCCTATGAATGTGCCGACAAGTCTTGTTTCGACTGGCCACGGCACGAATTTCGCGGGGCCAACCGCTTCGCGCGGCCATCAGATGATCAGAGTCATCGCGCGGGTCCATGCCTGGATCTGACAGGCGCTGGAGCGGCGAAACTTGCCACCCGCGGAATCCAACCAAAGGGGTGGAAGGGTGCCACTGAGCAACTGGAAGAATCTCTTTGGAGGGATTTTAGTACCATCGAAAACACTGAGACTCCAAGAGAAGATGGGATACTCACCCAGACATGTCTTCACCGAAGTAGGAAGGCCTAAAACTTGGGAAGTGAGGGCTATACGTCACGTCCCCCTCGAAGTGGAAACCCTCGCGATTTGCACAAATGTTTGGATCGCGGGATCTCAAAGGAAGCGCGAGCTGAGGCTTCTCCAAGCATCTTTGGACTGTATGTCTCATTTTCAGGAGGTAGCTCAAACCTGTGAGTCATTTTCAGGAGGTAGCTCAAACCTGTGAGCCATAGCCTCCAAGCGAGCCTGAAAAGGAACATTGCCGGGACTTCCCTCAAGTTCTATGTCGGGTGTAGGTTTTGGTTTATGCACAGTGGATATTGACGGGTTAGGTCTGAGGTTCTGACTTCGGCTTTGCGGCGAGCCGTTGCAGGTTGTCCGTTCTAGACGCTGTCAACGCTGGCGAGATCCATCAGCTTTCAAAGTCACGGTGTCGCATCGGCGAACTCTTTGGCTCTCGACTGCTTTACTCCTTTCGCGGGCACCCCCTTCCCACCTCAGCTTTTGCCCCAGCCATTGTTTTCTTGAACCCCATATGGGTATGGGTCAAAATGAAAACCACCAGGGCAGGGCAGGTTCTAGTCCATGGTTTCCATTCACCAGGGTTGAAGAAATGTTGGAGTTACCCTGTGTTTGACCCACAGCCATCTGGCTGCGGCTCAAAAATCCGGTACCAAAATGGGTTGCCCTGGCAAGTGGAGACCAAAACTGCGGTTTGCCCCTCCAGTGTACAATTTTGACCCACAGCCGTGTAAAGTGCGAAGCCTGTCGCATCTCCTCGCGCCTGTGCCAGAGCAGCGCGCGCACCATGCGCCGAGGCTTCCCCGGGCTCCACTTCTCCCTCGCGGCTGGCGCGCGGCTGGCGCGCGCGCGGCTAGCACGCGCGCGGTACGCATGCGCGCGCTGGGGACCTGGAGGGGAAGATCCTTGTCCAAAGGGGAGCTTCTGGTGGGTTCCATTGGTGGGAATTGCACACAGATGCGCTTCACACCCCAAGGAGGCGCAGATTTCCTCTTGGAGGTATGGAACACAAACTGTTCCGGCTTTGCAAACAGAAGCCTGGCAAAAGGCGAGCCCAGCCTCTCCCGGAATTCACAGAACCCTCGGCCCCCCTCAGGTGGCACTCCCCCCTCCCTCAGGCGAATCCAGCTCACCTGAACTTGGCTGGAAGTCCTGGAGCCCCTGGAGGCCATATTTTTGGGCCGGCACTGAAGTGGGTGAGTCCAAATGGCTGTGGTTGTTAAAACCGTTTTGGAATCCCATTTTGGTTGGTAGGTGAATTCACCCATTTTAGAGCCTATTTTAGTGGTTGGATTGGTTGATGTTCACTGGGGGTTGCCGGGTTTGGACCCATGGCCAAATCGGGGCGGAAAATCTCCGGTCCGCCTGCCTCAGCCACTGCATCTGCTGCGGGAGCCGGTCCAGCGCGGTGCTGGCGGACTCCCGCACCTCGCGAAGGGACCAGCTGGGAAGATCTAAGGGCCAGAGGTTGTAGGTGCCTGTATAAAAATACAGATGCGTAGTGAAGATGTATATGTATATGATTGTATAAATGTATATATGTATATATGCATATGTGTAGGTGTATATGTATGTGTAAAATGGATATGCATATATGTACAAACAATACGTATATGTATATATGAACATGTAAATGTATATGTATATGTATATGAAAATTGCATGGAGATGTATGTGTAGATGATATGATGTGTCATGCAATGCAGCGCAATTGTATTGGAATGGGATATAATGTAGTGTATTGTACTGGTATCATACCAGTACAATACACTGGTATGCATGTATGGATGGATCAACTAAAACTGGGCGCTTCTTTCCGGCATCCAAAAACACGAGAGAAAAGCCAAACCGGTCCCTCCCCCCTACCACCTCCCTTTTACCTCCCTTTTACCTCCCTACCACCTCCCTTTTACCCCCCTTTTACCTCCCTTTTACCTCCCTTTTACCCCCCTTTTACCCCCCTTTTACCCCCCATTTACCCCCCATTTACCCACCATTTACCCCCCATTTACCCCCCCATTTACCCCCCATTTACCCCCCATTTACCCCCCATTTACCCCCCATTTACCCCCCATTAAACCCCCATTAAACCCCCATTAAACCCCAATTAAACCCCAATTAAACCCCATCAAACCCCCATCAAACCCCCATCAAACCCCCATCAAACCCCCATCAAACCCCCATCAAACCCCCATCAAACCCCCATCAAACCCCCATCAAACCCCCATCAAACCCCCATCAAACCCCATCAAACCCCCATCAAACCCCCATCAAACCCCCATCAAACCCCCATCAAACCCCCATCAAACCCCCATCAAACCCCCAACAAACCCCCAACAAACCCCCAACAAACCCCCAACAAACCCCAACAAACCCCCAACAAACCCCCAACAAACCCCCAACAAACCCCCAAACAAACCCCCAAACAAACCCCCAAACAAACCCCCAAACAAACCCCCAAACAAACCCCAAACAAACCCCCCCCCCCCCCCCCCCCCCCCCCCAAACCCCCCAAACCCCCCCAAACCCCCCAAAACCCCCCCCCCCCAACCCCCCCAACCAAACCCCCAAACCCCCCCCCAACCAAACCCCCCCCCCCCCCCCCAAACCCCCCCAAACCCCCCCAACCCCCCCCCCCCCCCCCCAAACAAACCCCCCCAAACCCCCCCAAACCCCCCCCCCAAACCCCCCAAACCCCCCAAACCCCCCCAAACCCCCCAAACCCCCCCCCAAACCCCCCCAAACCCCCCCCCCAACCCCCCCCCCCCTCCAACCTCCAAGGACTCGTGCCAAAGGAGGTCCCTCAACACCGCCAGCGGCGCCACGGAGCCCCGCTGCAGCAGCTGCCCCAGCGCCTGCTGCGCCGCCACCTGCGCATGCTGCGCCCGAGCGAGGCATGCCGTGGATGGGTCCCACACCGCGGGAAACGCCCGTGTTTCACGGGGAAAACGAGGAAGGGACAAGCGCCAAAAGGAAACTCAAAGGGAAAACCTTGAGGGGAAAAAGACTTTTTTCAAGCACGAAGCAAGGAGCTTGAACTAGAGGGAAGCCCTACCTGGCCAAAAGGAGTCGGAAGCAGCCAAAAGGAGAATGCCTTTGTAGAGCAAAACATGAGGGTGTAAAAACT